GCTGGCAGTGTGAAGAAGGCCCTCCCTGCTCGGGCTGGCCAGTGGCTTAGGTGCTATCACCAATGCATGGTCGAGAGAAACATGCTGAGATTTGCAGAAGATGAAAAGGGTCCACCCAGGACGACAGAGCAAATGGATGGCCACACAGGGCCTCCATGCAGGCGGGGTGTTACCTAGCACATGCCTACAGGAGGAACAGTACCACAGGCAGCCAGAAGGTGCAAGTGGAACAACTGATGCCGGAAATGGGCAAGGGAATCACTCTGAGGGCCAGAGTGTCATGTGCATAGCTGAGCCCTTGTCCCTATAGCCATGGGATGAGTCTGTGTGGGAAAACTTGATCATACTGGTGTGTGAGCATGCTTTCTGTCTGCGGTTAGGAACCAACAGAAGGGGAGCGAGCCTCTAAAGTAGCTGTACCAAGGCGGGGAGACAAGGGAGGAATCGCAGATGGGCTATTGGGAGCTCTGTCTTTGTCGTTTGCTAAACAGAGAACAAGTTTTAGGGCGAGAGACTGAGTTCAAGGCAGATGTCATTAGAACTCTGTTAGTCTAAATATAAAGATGGTCCCTGAAGCCATGGAACAGACAAGACCCAGGGAGTCTGAGGGGAAGAGAAGGGGGCCAGGACTGAAGTCTGAATAATATCCTATTCTAGTAGTTTTTTTTATCTGTAAATAATTATATGGGTACAGGAACCAGCAAAGATATCTCAGACAGGTTCCACGCATTGTGTATGACACCATTTTATAAGGAAGGTTAGGTAAAGCTGAAAGCTACAAACCCCAGGCTGGACGAGACGGAACAGGTTATGACATCAGAAAAGCAATCTCAGTTGAGACTGGGTCTGGCTGCAAGTGAGAGCGGTCAAACAAGAGCAGAGTTGATGTCTTTTCACAGAATAGTCAACACAGACATCTACTCCGGCATAGAGACCTTGCTCCTCCACGTCCTTAGGGACACAACCTTCTTCCTCCCACTCCAGCATCTCTAGGGTATAGACTTTGTCTTCACAATCCATTTTGGTACCTAAAACTGTAGCCATAACTTCTGCTTTCCATATCGCTAAACGGAGGAGGGAGAGGCAGGGTAGAAAGCTGATAAGCATATAGTAAGCCATTTCTAAGGAAGGGTCCCAGGAGCTACATATTGACCAGAAGTTAGTCAGAACATTTAATGTGAGATAGGCCGAGAACTGGTTTCATTCTTGAACTCAGAACCAAAGGCTGCATTCCCAAGGAAAAGGGGAGAAGGGAGACAGGGAGCAGGTGGGCACCTTTGTGGGGCCTAAGGAGAGCTGCGCTCTGCACCCTGACAAACTTCCATGAGACCAACCAGGAAACCTGTAACAGAACAGTCTCACGGGTTCCGAGACAAGAAAATCCATAGCAAGGTGGCAGAGACAATGACCATTGTCTATCTGATCTGAGAGCCCTGGACTGTGAGTGCCTTATTCTTTAGGGGAGGTGTCGTGGAGGTGAGAATTCTTAGAGAATGTAGACCCCAAGACTCCAGGAGAAGACAGCAAACAGACAAAAAGGAAGGTGGCCAGCACAGGTTAGCAGTCAGGAGATTTAACAAGAGCTGTGGGAGATGGAGGACTTCCTGTCTTCGTTGGTGGCTCCAGAGTGGGGCCCAGGAGTGGGTGGTGACAGAAAGAGAGAAGGGGCATATGTCACAAAACTGAGACCTGAGGTCCAGGATGTCGATGGGTGGGGGACAAGATTCTCCAGCTCACCCCAGCAATCCAGCTACCGCTGAATACACTTTATCCTTCTCAGGGTTATTATGACGCCTGCCTCTCCTAGACCTGGACGGGCTCCCAGGAGACAGACTTTCCCTTACCCAACCTCACCTGGTCCTCTGAGCTCCCCACCCACCAGCCCTCTAGGAAGCAAAGATTGGGATCCTTCAGCAAGCCGAAGTCATAGGCTCTGCCCGTGCAGGAATCATCTGAACGGTAGAACCATTTCCACGGCCCAGCCTGCACCTGCTGCTCTGTTTAAGCCTCTCTGTGTCAGCACAGCTCTTCCTGCGCCTGGTGAGCTAAGCTGCCCTCAACAAGTGAGTGACAGGAGTGAGTGGATAATCTCTCAGCTCCTTGGCTCTGTGAGGGCGGGCAGCAGAGGGGCATGTGCCTACTGGAAGCTCCCCGCACTCTCCCGGAGAACAAGATTATGATAGTCTGTGTCCCTTCGCTGCTCCCTCCCATCGGTTTGGATTCCTCCCTCCCCTCCCGGTGTTTTACTTCAAAATAAACATGTATCCAAATTATTGTCTTGAAATCCTCTCCGGAGAAAAGCCACATAACTGGATGGTTGCCAGGTACTAGGAGAGCGGTAACTCCGTGGTGGCCTCTGGGCCCCACACCCTACTAGTCTCTGGCAGCTGGCCAGAAGGCTGCAGCCTTAACATTTTACGAGTTCCTCATGGGTTGCACCTTTCCATCTTGTAGGCCACACTCCAGCCACATGACTTCACCCAAACCGACCCTTGGCAAAACTGATGGCTTTGTCCAGGCTAGTTCAGGCTACACACTTATGGACAGAAAGGGTGTCGGAATCAACCTTATAAGCCAGACTTATCATCTTTTCCAGAATGAGCTGTCCACGGTGGGTTCATAATTACAAAAAAAAAAAGCAGCTGGTTGACCCTCCCTGCCAAGAAGCTCCTCTTTCTCATCTGGTTCATTCACTGGTACTGAGCTCCTCCTACGAGCCATCCCCAAACGCTAGAGCAGAAGGGGGGGCAGACAAAAACAACACAACTATATGGGGGGTGCAGGATCATGCTGCTCCCACAAAGTGCCTCTTCCAAGGCTCCCCCAAATGCTTCCCGCCTGTGAGCCCCGTGGGTGTTCTAGGACTTGTGTTGACACATCCTTGGCTGGCCTAGAAATGTCCTAGTTGTCCCCATTGCTGTGACACCTGGAAGAAGAGGCTATGTCAGCAGGGCTGACCTCAGCCTGGGCAGCCTCGGACTGCCACCTCAGACCCCACAGGAGGGGTAAAGTCACCCCCCCCACACACACACACATCTCCCATCAACTTTTCATAAAAATCAATTTCTGTCTCGTTTTCGCGGTGTACATAAAAGGCGGTGGCATCAATTAGCCTCCGGTCCCTCCCATCCTTTCCTCCTGTCTTTTCTGGAAGCCTCTTTGTAGGAAAATCTCATATTTCAGCAATTTGCATCATCCACACATTCCGCTTTGAAGTTCTAAGTTATGGTAAGAAAACGACCCACTTATCTGCCCATAAAAAATGTTCAAAGCTTATAAAGTCCTAGAACAGATGTACATTATCATTGGATTTGCGGCCTTTTTGCTGGAGCGTGCCTAATAGTTTCCGCCGCCCCTGGCCCCTTTCCCACCCCCATGAGCACTGCCTCTTCATAGAATCCCGCCTGCCCCTCAGCCCTCCTGCACCCACCCCCGCACGGAACCCCGCCCCCAGCTCCTCCCCGCATCTCTTCTTCACAGAAGCCCGCCCCTTTGGCCTTTCTCAGCAGCTCCTTTCCACAAAAGCTGGACCCCGCCCCTCCCACATCTCCTCTCCTCAGAAGCCCTCCCCCCTCCCGCATCTCGCTCTGCAGAAGCTGCTCCCCACTGGGCCAGGCCGACTTCAAAGGTCCTGGGTTGCCTGTGAGAAGCAAAGCACAAAGTGGGAACACGGGGGCTTTTAAAATCCCCCACGTTAAAGTCAATATTGTCCCTCCCCCCTCCCCCCACTTTGCCGGCAGAGGGGCGCAAGTCCGTTCTTCCCTTCTTGCCTCCCGCCACCAGTTCAGCAATTACCAGAGGGACACGCAGGCTCCAGATGTCTATCCTTGCATGCCTCACACCCTCTTCTTTTAAAAAGAGTTTGTTTTGACAATTTCATATATGTATATAATGTATTTTCACCGGATTCAGCTCCATCTCCCAATTCTTTTCCTCTCCCACTCCCCTTGGACCTCTTCTTCCTGATAAACCACTGAACTTGATTTGGATGGTTGCATGGATATGAGCTGTTCACTGGACCATGGGCGACTTACCACCTGCTATGTCCTCGAAGAAAAATCACTTCCCCTCCCCCAGCAATCGTTAACTTCCAACAACTCCTTGTGTAGGCACGGGGTTTCCTAACCTGCTCCACAATGTGCTCAGTCTCATGCACGCCACCACAGCCGCTCGCTCGGTGTTTGTAGGAGCAGTGGCCACATCGTGTCCAGAAGACACTTGTCCCCATTCTCTGGCTCTTAGCATTTTTTTCCTGCCCCCTCTTCTGAAATGTTTCTGGAGCCTCGGGGGCAGGAACTTGATAGGGATGGAACACTCAACAGCCACTTATTCTCAGAGTACTGACCAGTTACGAGTCTGCATTAACCACTGACCACTGCAAAACGGAGCTCCCTGACCAGGGATGAGAGCAGCAGTAACCCGCCGGTCTAAACATGACAGTCTACAAGGTAGCTTGACAGTATATCCATTTAGCAAGACAACAGTAGCCCCCTCCAGGCTATGACCTCCAGGGCTTTTGACTGGATTTACAGTACCAGGCATGCATTCTCTCCTGTAGAGCAGACCTTAGATGCCATCTGAAAATGCTTGGTTATCCTTGTAACTTCGTGTCGCTGTTGTAGCGGTGGGCACATCTTCCTGGAAGGTCAGCGATGAAGCATCCTGTTCACTGCTCGGTAATACGATGACTCCTCTTCCCCCAGCAGTCTGAATAGGCACTATGAAAGCTAGTCTTTAGGAAGGAAGTTTTCAGGTCAGTTCTAGCTTGACTTCTCTGTGTCTCGAATTTAAAGTGTCTTGTCTCTTCAGGAGTAGGGTCTTAACTATCCAGGTATGGTGGTGGTCAAACGCAATAGCCATAGCTGTATTTGAGGGCATCTCCGGGGCCTCCCTGACTAACAATGGATGAAGGTATCCCAAGCCTGGCACTGGGATCTTTGGTTAAATTATGTCTTCTGGGAATGGCATTCTCCACCCATACATTGTACCTCTGCTCAAACTTCTTTTTCAAAACATTTATTTTGAATTATCTTACAAAGCAATGGGTTTTCATGAGCTTCTCCATACACCTCTAGTTTTGCTTAACCTTCCCCACTCTCCCTCCTCTCTTTACCTCTTCTGCCTCTATCCTTGCTTTATGTTCCTTCCTGCACTTAAAGACTGTCCCTGCACATCTGGAGCAGCAGCGCCCTCTGCATACCAGGACCAGCAGTGCCCCTGCACATCTGGAGCAGCAGCGCCCCCTGCACATCAGGAGCAGCAGCGCCCCTGCACATCTGGAGCGACAGCGCCCCTGCAATCTGGAGCGACAGTGCCCCTGCACATCTGGAGCTGCAGCACCCCTGCACATCTGGAGCAGCCGCACCCCTGCACATCAGGAGCAGCAGTGCCCCTGCACATCTGGAGCAGCAGCGCCCCCTGCATATCAGGAGCAGCAGCGCCCCCTGCATACCAGGACCAGCAGTGCCCCTGCACATCTGGAGCAGCAGCGCCCCCTGCACATCAGGAGCAGCAGCGCCCCTGCACATCTGGAGCGACAGTGCCCCTGCAATCTGGAGCGACAGTGCCCCTGCACATCTGGAGCTGCAGCACCCCTGCACATCTGGAGCAGCCGCACCCCTGCACATCTGGAGCAGCGTGCCCCTGCCCATCTGGAGCAGCAGCAACCAGATAGATCTGGAGCAGCGCGCCCCTGCACACCAGGAGCAGTAGTTCCCATCCAGGATGGAGACAGACTAGTGTATCCTGAGCACCTTGGTGGGGAAGCACGCCAGACACCCACAGTAGGTGGTGCTGAGTCACCATGTGCCTTACAACGAAGCTCCCGGTCCAGGGTGGTTTCCAATCCTTTCACCATGCCCTAGCCAATGGCGTATGCTATCTTACACTGCTGAGCTTCCAACTTTTTGATGTCTCTTAGGTTCCAGAGGACACCATCCACCAGGCTCTCTTCCAGACCCTACCAACCCTGGCTGGTTCCCTCGCCACTCACCCACACTGGCCTCCAGCCATTCACCCAGTGCCTCAGAGTCTTGGCTGGATTACTAGCTGGCCAATTCCTCATCAATCTTGCAGTCTCACCTACGCATGGTTCTAACTCTCTCACACCCTCAGTCTGTTATGCGCCGTTAGACCTCCATGTCCCCACAGAAGGCATCCCAGTCTGTAGCGATGCCACTGTGTGACAGCTGCCCCCACCCCACTGGCCTGTGAGTTCTGTGAAAGCCTATCAAGATGGGGCCTGCTTTGCCTCTCGTGAGCACTTTTGATGGACTTGAACACTTCCTGACATAGTTGTTGATTACTACATACTAGAAAAGCATGGACAGAGAACTCTGGAGATAAACATGGAGTGGGTGTGGTCCAGGGAATGGCCAGCTGAGTCTGAGATGGTCATCTCTGAGCAGTGAGGCCCAACTCTGTGCTCTGCCCAAAATCCTTCTCAAACCCTGCTCAAGTTTGGCAGCTCCTTGTAACCACAGACTGATGAGTTATAAGGAAACCATAGTAAGACATCTGTAGCATGCACAGGCCAATGCTCAGGGAAAAGGAAGAAAGCCAGCCTTGGAAAGGTTGGGCATGGAATCTCAAGACCAACCACATTACAACCAGATGCTGCACTTTGTGGTCAGAGTCAGGGGATGTCGGATCAAGTGACCTCAGTTAGGACACCACACCCAGGCTCTCAGGTCACTCAGGGCCCCTGTAACATGTACCCTGCTAAGACCCCACAAGATAACATCAACACCACTGTTCCTCTCTTCTGCACCCCCAAAACATCCACACTACTCCCAGTTTTCAGCCTGTGCCAACTTCCTGGACACAGAACAAGCATGCTACAGGAGCTGGACAGCAGGATCCTGGCACAGCAATGCCACTACCTACTTGTGCTTCTAAGCCAATCACCAGAGATGCTTCTCAGGCTGGTATCGGGCACAGCTGGGTCTGGCTAGAGGCTGTGCAAGAGCCTAGGAGTATGAATCCTTTAGTCACTGTACAGGCCTCTCACTAGCACTCATCAGGGTCCTTGGACTCTGGTGAACAGAGACTTGGTGGAAACCACATAACTGACATAAACAGATCTGAAAAGAGGGTTCCATCCTTGACAGGTGCTGTACTGTGCTTTTAGCAACCTGTCTATCTTCGAGTGCAACTCCAAAGTTATTATCTAGGGCATTTTCATGGTCATTCGCGAACATGGAAAAGCATTGAAATGGCTGGCTGCTGGCTGCCTGGCTGCTCACGCCCAGCTTGGGAAGAACAGGACAATACCCTGGTCTCCGGTTCTAGCTCTCCTCTTATAAACACATGTCTTTGTCACAATTTCCTTCTGGGCTTTGCTCTGTGTTGGGGATTTCACTGTTTAAAATGGTCCCTGGGCCTAGAGCATGGGGAAGCTGGGATTGTCTCGAGGAGTCAATGCCAGGCTGGAGATGTGGTCCTATAGCCACACTCAATGTGAGTATCAGTATCCTGGAACTAAGTGACTGCACGGGGCAATGTGCACTGGCTGGCTGACGGCAGTGTCATGACAGGCTGGCGGGAACCTCACTCTCTACGTCCCCAGCAACAGCAGGTAAGTACTCATACATGGAGTGTCCAAGGCAACCTGGCAGACCAACTGCAGAGATGAATGAGCACAAACTAGCCACAAACACTGATCAACACTGAGAAGGAAGGGTTCTGCAGGATCCACAAGCTTCAGGGCCGTTGGTAAGCCTGGAAGGTCTCCAGAACTCTTTCTCTTTAAACTACCTGAACTAGTGACAGTGACGGTGGCCCGTGGAGAAGGTGTGGTCCTGGCTAGTCTCGGTCAATGCCTGCTGGCCATTCAGTCAAAAGCTTTAGAAGGCTGCTATTTCTCTGAAGAAGGGCCCCACAGGCTGCCAGCGTCCAGTCCTATCCACCTCTGTAGGCTCAGAGTTGTCACTCTCTGAGACCAGGGTTGGGGCAGACTCATGGTGATGCATGGTGGCTCTTCCGAGTCCCCACAAGCCAGGTAGAGAGGAAAAGAACAACCCCATGGGATTTGGTCAAGAAAAGCAACAGGCCAGGTAGGGTGACCCTCAAGAATGTGGCAGAAGGACCTCTGCAGTTGGGGCGAGGGCAGGATAGCACCCACAGTCTCCTGGGGGCCATATTCTCCTAACAGAAGCTTCTGTTTATGATAGGCCTCGTACATGCAATGCTCTGTGCTGAAGCTTTACAGCCGTGGGTCCATCTATCTTCACAGGAGTTCTGTGAGGTGGGAACTGATGAGCCCATTAGAAAGCAGGAAACCAAGGTATCTACCAGTAGCCAGGTCACTTGCTCAGTGTCACTGAGCAGTGTACCGTCAATCATGCCAACTGGGGCGGTCTCCTGAACCTACAGAAGCTGCAGCAGGACAGGCAGCATTGGGGTCCTCTGCCCGCGCTGAGCGCTCCAGACCAGCCAGCAGTCTTTCTGCTCCCATTTCTGGGCAGCTGGGTGGCATCAGTCCAGGCACCCCTTTCCCATCTCCTATTTTGCTGGAAGCTTCACAGATCCAGGAGCTTAAAGCTGAGTGGATTTCGTCAGGCTACTTGACAAAGCAATCTTGCTTTGGGGCAATTGCACCTCTGGGGCTTTGCCATGGCCAGCCTTGTTCACTTGAGTAATGTGTTATGTGGTGAAGGTCACCAGAGCTCCCTGACACCTTCCTGTGAATGACATCTCATGCCTGGAACACACCCTCACCTGGATCCAGCTCAGCTCCCCGCGAGAGGGGCAGTATGAGACCATGAGCCCTAAGGCAGCTAGGCCAGGATGGGAAGCCTTGGCCAGGGATGGGTCCCAGGCCCTGGGAGACTTGTACATTACTTGAAGGGTCAGACACTACTCAGCTCCCACAGATTGCTGTATGGAGGAGGGTGATTTTGAGTTTCTCATTCTCATGAAAAAACAAGCCTTGATTTTTTTTTTTTAAGTGAAAGCTTTAGATTTTGGACATTCATTCAAAGTCTTTGAAACTCTGAAATGAGTCAAACAAGACATGCTGGGCCTTTCTAGGACTGCCCCAGCTGTTGGGGGTTAGCATAGGAGCTAAGAAGACTGAGTGGAAGGGGGAGAGTGGGCCAGAGCTCTGGGAAACTTGGGCTTATCCCTGCTCTATCTGCCCTCTCCCACAGATGGGCACATGGTCCAGGGCTTACTACTGAATTGTCCGGCCCCTCTCCAGGTTCCAGGTACTGGGTATCTGGAAGGAATCTGTGCCTTTGTGTAGACAGCAAGTGCCTCAGGTAGGAAAAAGGCCTTGAGTTGGTCTGGGGTTGACTTCTGGGGACAAGTGTCTGAACAAGTTTGCCTACTGAAGTCTCTCGATTCTCCTGTGTCTATGGTTGAAAGATCCTTCTCGTCCAATCACAATCAATTGTTCAAAACCACAAAGAACATTTGACTAAATTGTCACTGGTTCTGGGGGAAGGCGGGAACCAACCAATCAACCAGCCAGAAAAAAAGCAAAGACAACACAGTAATGGTTTGTTTCTTTTCAAATAAACTAAATTATTGCTTTTGCTGTGCTGTTTTATTGGCTTTTTGTTGTTGCTGTTGTTCTAGAGGGCAAACCCAAGGCCAAACATAAGCTACGCAAGAGCTCTAGCACTGAGCTACATCTTAAGTATGTTTTTCAAAACAAAATCAAAAGATAGCAGTGCCATTGCTAGACACACTTTTATCCCTAGGACACCAGCAGGGAGGATGCAATGATTGACATGAGGCCATAAACTTCCCTGTTGTCTTGCAGCGGGTGCCTTATCTCTTTCACCAACATGCTCTCTCTCCTATTCACTAACCACCTACAGACACACGGGGCCCCCTAAAGAACCCCACTTGGGGGTTGCAGACAAGACAGAAACTCGGGACCAGGTTTGAAGGCATGCATTGCTTGCTGCCCTCTGCTGGACTTGCTAAGGCTCCAGGAAGAACAGCCTGGTTGGAAAAGGATGAACAGATTTTGTGGTCTGCTTTGATGAATGCGTCCAGAATTTTGTTTTCAGAAATATCGAGCAGAGAAACACTAGTTAACACAGGGCATCAAACCGCTGGTGGAGGTGAGGAATAACCCTGTCAACCTGGGAACCTTTAAGATCTTTGGCCGTCTCTGCTTCTCACTCTGAGAGCTAAGCCCCAAATGGTTTCCCCATCCACCTTTCTACCTAGGGAGAGGGGTCTGCCAAAGCTGGCTCTCACCGTGACCTGGCACCTTGTAAACAAAGTGGTGGCCACACTGAGCTCTACGCTGCCAAGTCAACCTTGGCCCAGGGCTCCAAGGCCAAGTGCAGGAATCAGGAAGAGGCGTTTTAAAACGTGTATGCCTATCTTATTAAGGCCAGATCTCCTCTTAAGTGGAGGGTGAAGTCTGTGTCCATGCCAGTGTCACGTGATCCACGCCAATGGGGCCACTAGATCTCAGTAAGTCCCGCTCTCTGGAAGGTTTGTGGCTTTGTGGCAATGGTGTAGATGGGCTCGTCAGAAGCAATGGCAGCACAGCTAGGAGGGAAACTTTACCCGTACAAATAGAGGTACTGAGCCCTCCAGCCTGGTCCTTTGCCTAGGTTATGGTCACTTATTCTAAGTTCTGTGGAGTTTTGGGGTCCCTGTTACAGCACAGGAGGGGGTGTCTCTCCTTATCTCCCTCCTATCTCACCCAATACACATACTCCTTGAGGCAGGGCCAAAACACGGGCTCTCAGAATTCTCAGGATGGCCTGTGGGCCAGAAACACCACTTCTAGGGGTGGGAGCTTCTGAAAAACCACGGTCCCTGTACCTTAACCCTAATTCACCTATCCCCCCTAATCCAGAGGATTGGGCCTGGGAGTCTATATTTAACATGCTTCTTCAGTCCTAGGATTCAAATATTTCTCTCAAAAGGCCGCCAGAAGTTATCTAGGGGATGTTGCAAGACTCCAGAGTATCACCTTGGCTGTATAGGATACTATCTGGGATCCTGAGCTCTTAATGATCAGGCTACATCCCAGACTTCCAAAATCAGCATCTGGCCTCTGTAACTTCCTCCAGGTGGTTCTGAATGCAGCTTCCATCCACTGAAAGGCTAGCCTGTTCTCAAGTCACACCAGGAGGGGCCTGGGCCTCAGTGAGTTAACTCTTAGCTCCATGTTGCAGGATTGCTTGGAAGGCTGGGAGAGAGCAAAGGGCCGACTGGGTCAGCTGGAAGCCGGGTGTTTAAGTTAAACCCTGTCACTCCCTGGGACCACATACTGGACACTGGGATCCCTCCAAAAGAAAATATAGTGGGAAAAATGGGGGTTGGCTTCAAGGTTCTGCTGCCTCAGAGCAGATCAGAGCCCCAAATGAAGGGGAAATCTGAGGTGAGGTGGGGGGAGTTTAATGATGGGAAGGGTGGCCTGTGCCTGCGTCTAGTATCAGTAAGGCAGGTAACTGATGCATCTCCACCGTCTCTACAGACACAGCCCTGCTGCCGCACTGGGAATGGTAGGAAACCAAGGCCAACACCAGGAAATTGGTTGCTAGAGTGAACCTGGGTAAACGGCAAGGTTGCTTTGGAGAATTTGGAGTGTGCAATCCCCTAGGGTGTGGCTGGCAGCCCGCACCTTCACACAGAGCTGAGGCTGCTGGGTGGCATCTATAGCCCAGGTCAGGGGACACAGGAGCTGCTCGTTAGAATGACTTTTGACAGGTAGCCCCCCTCTTCTCCTCTCTGGCTTTTGATCCTCAGGCCCAGCAGCAACCTGAGAAATCTGAGATGTGAATGCAGGGCAAAGGAGAAGGTCAAACAGGTCCTGGCTATGCCCTTTGCCAGAATGCCTAATTGGCATGGCTGGGTGTGCGGTGTTCCCAAGAAGGGGAGGTGAGAGCACAGTGGCTATCCACCCTCCCACCAAACAGCTAGTGCAGTCTGCTCAAAGCTTCAAGGCCATGATGCCTTGAATCAATCAATCAATCAAACAAACAAACCGAGATACTTCTCTAGGCTCCAGGGATGCTGGGTGCTCAGAGCTCAGGGGACAGAGAAGCAGCAGCTCTGTCCGGGGAACTGGGTCACATCCACACAAAGGATCCAACTTCATCTCCTCTACCTTCCTCCCTCTCTCCTTTCTCCTTCTGGCGCCTCCTAATTATTTGCTATAACCACTTTTAAGGGGTCACCTACAATAGCTTCAAAACGGACACCACACTTGCTATTGAAACCAGCAGCTCTGTATTGACACCTTCTGCCACTTTCTGTCTCGAGAGTAGGCAGTGAGACAAGTTACGTACAAGGACCCTCTGTGCAGTATGTCACGGCGAAGGATGAGAGACAACCCACAGGCCTGCCGGGAGGTGACAGTGCCCCTGAGCAAGAGAGGGCTGAGCAGCTGTTAGGGGGAAGAGAGTTCAGTGACTCAGGGGGAGGTCCCCAAGCGCACTGGGCTGCAGAGAAAAGAGCCTAAGAATGAACGCTATGCTGGTCCTTGGATAAAAATAAAAGAACAAGGTGGGGAGGGGACTGAACATAACTGCCGGGTTTTCTCTCTTAAAAATAGATCAGAAAGAAATAGTGCAAAATGTCAGTATTTGAAACTTCTGGATGGGGAGTTCAAGGTTACCGTTACACAACTGCTTCAAACTCTGAATTTTTTTTTAAATTAACAAAATTTAAATTTGATATATTCTATAGAATGCATTTATTCTAGTAATGAAGACAGCCAGCATCTGGATAGTGCTCACGAGGGAGTATTTCACTTACAATGCGTGCTGAGGAAAGGGAGTCGGGCCTTGAGTCCCTGCAGCCTGGCCAGTCTCTGCCCCAACCACTACACTGCACCCACGGTCCTGCAGGGCATCTGGATCTGGATGCTGGCATGGAGCCTAGTGAGTTCCCTTTTACTCTAAGCTTGTATGGGCTTTTACAGGTGAACACGGTACTATTTTTATAAGATGACTTTTAAGTTAGTAGGAAGGGGGGCTCTCCCTCCCTAGGCTGAGGATCCATGTTCTAAAGCCAGCAGCTCCCACTCCCTAGGCAGTTGCTCATGGCAACTTTGGACCTGGAGTCCACTGGGTTTTTATTTTTTCCTTGTTTTGTTTTCTGGCTGTCTCTCCCTCCTCCCTGCCCCAGCTGTTATCAGTGCTGACCCTGCCTCCTGTGGCAAGTGGTCACATACCAGGTGGGGCATGGTGATTGGTCCAGGGGTGACTACCTGATCCAAACCCAGCCTTTCACAACTCCTCATCAGGCTTTTGTTTCCTAGAAATTCTTTTCTCCTGGTCCTGGACCCAGAATGTCAGTAGCTCAGGCCTACTGACACGGAGTAACTCAGGAACAAAAACCCTGGTTCATTCATATTGGAGCCTGTCATCTCAAAGCCAGCTCCCACAATGCCTTGCCCATTTGGTTTGGATACAGTCACTTCCTGTGAGCTGGATTCTAATCAAACAGAAACTCACAACTACACGTGAGCAAAAGCCAGGGCTCACACCCTTCACGGTGTTAGGGATGCTGACGACTAGGACGCAACGCTGCCACCTACCATGTGACTCCCGCAGGTTCTCGGCCTCTCTGAGCCTCAGATGCAGGCCCTGGACTTAGACCAGCAACCAGGAAAATGAACACCTTAAAAACAACTAATGCTGACTACCCCCAGAAGTCCATGCTTACCAACCATGCTAAACCCGGGAGACGAAGGGGCAGGGCAGACAGCTGCGATCATTTCCTTCTGGGGTCAGACTCTCTCAGGGACCATACCCAGACTCCTCCCTGCTCCCAAGACCGTCACCAGATGCCACTACAGAAGGATGTGGAAGAGGCAGGGGAGAGAGTCAGGACTTCACCCCTGGGGGTTCCACACATCCCCTTACATTCCCTGAAGGAAGGTCACAGCTTCCAGGTGCCTTTCAACCCTCACCTTTCAGGTGTAGGGGTAGCTTAGTGCCATTCTGGGTTCCACTGCCCCTCAGCCTTTGCTCCAGTGTTGACAGTGGTCCTTTCCTGGTTTCTCTAGCTCTTGTTTGATAAAATCCTGCTCTGTGAAGGATGCTGTCCCACAGTCTCATCTGATATCCTTATTCTACTCTAAGCTTCTACACCCAAGCAGGTTTCTCCAAAACTGCAGACTTCAAACCCAAATAAATGACCTCTTATAAGAGGGAGGCGGCTGCCTGAGTCTGATGGACGAGCGACCTTACACGAAGCACACGGGGCACATCTGGGTTGCAGGAGCTTCCACAGAGCAGCACAGTGATTTCTGCACACCAGCAAAGATACCTGAGAGTGTATTTATAGAAAGATACAGAGACACGGACAGGCAGCATCTACCTATAGTTACAAAGGTTGCCAGAGAGCCACAAAGTGTATCTGCTGATGGCAAACTCAGGTTTCACACCCTCCGTCATACAATGGTGCCATCTTGGGAAACCATGCTTCTTTATGTGGCTGCTTCTCTCTGTAGCAGTTTCCAAAAGGAGAAGGCTGGCTCCAAGGACAATCCTTAAATACAGGTGCATCCTTTAAAAGCAAAGGGGGGCGCACGGGGGGAGAGGGGCGCTTCCACATTGTGCATGGCAGAAAAAAAAAAGGATGGGGCTGGCGTGGGCCAAGGTGAGGCAGCAACTCCAGAGAGCACAGCTAAGGGTCTAGGCTGAGGTGTGGAAACACGAGGGCAGGGAGGGCACTGCGATGCAGTCCACCAAAAGCCCCCGGAGCAAGTGACAGTCGGTTAAGGGTAAAGTCAGACCGGAATAACACTGAGAGGTAGCAGCTGTTGTCCTCCGGAACTCTTGAGGGTCTCTGAAGCTTGGCCAGGCAAGGGTGCGCTCCCGGAAGAGCAGAAGTGGGGCAGCTGGGCCGAGGGCTCCTGTGGTTTGGGAAGATCTGCGTGGACCCTGCAGCTGGGGTAGCCCAGGGACCCTTCCAAACCCAGAGTCACTTCTTGGGTGAGCTATATAATCCCCACAACATATAAATAAAAGTTTAGTTCTGTGTTTCCATATATCTTCTACATGAAGGCTAGCTAAATATTAGTGGAGTAACAATAATTATTAATAACAATAATTGTCATAATAACAATAATTAATAGAATAATAATGCCTCAAGGCGTGGGGGTGGGTCCTTCATGTGGTGGCCTGCTGGGGCTTAGGGCTGGTAGAAGTGGTGGTAGTGGTGGTGATGTTCGTGATGGTGGTGGTGCTCATGTCTCTGGACGGCCTGCCCAGCCTGGCTCTCATACACCACCACAGCAGGTAGCTCCCTGACCTGCTCCCGACCCATGACCGTGGCGCCTCCTGCAGCCAGTGGGGCCTGCAGGCCCCGGCAGCTGGCCTGGTTCTCCTTGGGTCGATGCTTGTGCTTCTTGTGCCCCAGGGGTGCCAGGGAGGGGAGGAGGGCTGGGCTGGTGGCCAAGTGGGCAGAGGGGGACACAGTGTGGGTGGTGGGCACAAGTGGGGGCTTGCTTCTTGCACCTCTGGCCCCGTGGCCCATTCCCATGTTCTTGCCCTGGGCCTTGGGGGATCTCACAAAGTGCTTGCTCCCATCCTGAGTACCCCGAAGCCGTTGCTGGAGCTCTGATGCCTTGGCAAATGGGGTATCAAGGAGGTGGAAAGAGCCGGGGTCCACACCTTGGGGCCTCCGGTGTGGGATGTGGGCAGCTTCTGGCTCGTGGGAGCGAGAGCGAGTGGGGTTGGAGATTCGAGGGGGCAGCTCTGACTTCTGGGCCACCGAAGGGGAGCCTAGGAACCAATCCAACAGATACTTCATGAGTGCCCACTGTGTGCACTGGGCTGCCCCGGGGTCCCCAGGTGCCACCACCTCTCTGTCTGAGCTATCGACCCTCCACAGGAAAGGGAACCTTCCCATCTGCTGAGGTGAGGCCAGATGATGACAGATGGGACAAATACATTCTACGTGTATAAAGGGAAGTGCGTAGGGAACAGAGAAAGCACTCCACACAGAGGGAGCAGGGGTGAAACAAGGTCCAGGGGCACAGAGGCTGGCAGTGCAGCACTGTCGTGGACCAAGTGGGAACCGGAGCTGTGGCTGATGTGGGGCCAGAGCGGGAATGGCCTAGGTGGGACCACTGCTTTGGCTGGATTTGAAGCCCCCTCATTCTCCTGGGTTTAGCCCAACTTTGTCCAAGTACTACTTTCATTTTGGAAACATCTTTAATGCAACTGTCTCTGAGAAGAGCCTCTGATATGTCCAGTAAAAAGTTCCACATCTCCCCAGTCCTCAGGGAACAAAGGCGCTACCCAGCACTGTGTTTTCAGTGGACACCCCGCCCAGCGGTCCCTTACCAGGCCCAAACTGAGACGCGTAGTTCTCTATCCCCGCCAGGTCTAGGTAGTGGTTTCTCCTCTCAATGTTCTCATCCACGCAATGGTGGTAGCAGCCCGGCTGCTCCAGGTGGCTGTCACCCTGGAACCTGTGACAAAAAGTATGTTGACTGGGAAGGCACAGGTCCAACACACAGCTCACTCAGCTCTGTGACTTGGGAGAAGGGGTCTATGCCTTCGTTTCCCTGATGCCCACCACCTGCCCCATCTGTACCCCAGTCCCACCCATCTCAAGCCAGCCTTCCACTCAGTCCACTGCCCACCCAACAGCATCCTAGAATGTTCTGTCTGTTCCAAGTTCACATCAAGGACCGGTCCTTCTCCAACTACATCCTTTAGTGCCAGATGTGAACGATCCCCACACTTGCCTGAACAGCCTGCCTTCCCTCTGTTCATGCAGACATGACAAAAGGACAGATAGCTGCAGATCTATAAGCCCTTACCTACGATTCTGAAAGGTTTTCATAGCCCACTGAAGAGCCAGGCCATCCTAAGGGATGGGAGGTTTTTGTCTCACTGTTGTGAAGGAATGTGTATATAGTACCTGGTAGAAACACCAGTTGTGCTAGGTCCCGAGGTGCTGTCCTAACCCCATCTAGAGTACATAACATGTCAGGAACAGCCAATATATGCTAATCCAAATCACATGCAGAAAATCTGAAGGATTTTTATATGGAATACAGTGAAGGACTATAGCTAGGGGTTTGTTTGTTGTTGTTGTTTGTTTTCCTGTGTTTTGTTTTTAAATTTAGAGTCTGATTTGTAAATCTGTGCTTCTGAAATAGATCCAGGGCCCCTGCAAAAGACCCAAAATAGAGCCTGCTACTCAAAGTCCTTCAGATGTATGTATCCAGATGGTGCTCAATATATGTTCGTGGGCCTGAGGCTGCCGCCTCTGCCTGTGCAAGTCATACCTGAGAGGGGCTCGCTGCTTCTTCTCCCAGCCACGAAGTTCCTCAGCAGGCTTGGTGTCTGCTCGGGGCCTCGTGCTCTGCAGGTCTGAATCCCAGAAGCCCAAGAAATACTAGTCAGTACCTACTCCTGCTCTGCCTGGGACTGCCTGGCACTATGCCCTCAAACAAAACAACAACAACAAATACCCATCATGCTTCACCATAGCTTTGTGGTGAACTTTGGGTGGGCTTGCCCAGTGAAGATCAGGCTAGGTGCCTGTCCCACTGGCCTCTCCAGATTCATAAGCTTCCCTCCAAGGCCTGGACCGCCATCTTCTGCACAACATGTCCCTGTAGCTTCTTGCTACATCTCTATGCCTTTGCTCACCCAGGGCCTTCCATCTGCAACCCTCCCAGCCCAGTCCGGGGCCTTCTCCTTCAAGGACCCACCGAGGCCTTAAGTACACTAAGCAACTGTCCAGGGAAGCTGGGACTCCTCCCACCCTCTCCTCCTACCCTCCCAGGCTGACTTGGGTCCTTCCTGTCTTTCCCAAAGCGGGTACCCACTCTGTCACCTCTCACCAGTATGGTTGAAAAGGACACTCCTCTTGCTCTGGCTCCCATCGGGGGCCACAGTGAGCTTCACCCGCAGTGTCTTGCTTGCTGTGGGGGAATGGTTCACAGAGGAGTCAACCACCTCATAGATGGTGTGCAGCAAGCTGGTGATGTCCTGTTTGAGAGGAAGCAGACACCCCATGTACTTCAGCCGCAATGTACAGCCACCAGCAACCTGGGAGTTGGTGGCCGCCACTATGCTGAGGGCCCCCAGCTCCTTCCCACAGAGCTGGAGGCAGAATGGTGGATTCAGGGAGAGAATAAGGAGTAAGAGAGCAAATGGAAGGGAGTTCAGAGCTCAGAGTGACTGTGAGCCACTGGGGTCCTCAGCAGGATATGGAACCTCTCAGAGTAGCCTCATCTGGGTAGCAGAAGAGTTTAAAAGCCAGATCTCAACCCTCCTTGGTAACAGGCACCTAGTGATGCTACACACCCCTGTTCTTAGAGAAAAACCCAGAAATGTGATTCTGTCCATACACTGGACTGGATTATGGCCCCACCATTCCTCTGCTGAAGTCATCCCCATGGACACTGTGCTGGATCAGTGAGTGATGGAGGTGATGGAAGGGAGGTGTGTGGGAACAGATGCTGCTGTTCTGTGGCTCTTGCAGCTCACTTGTCCTCTGCCTGGAAGAAGGCAGCTGTCCACAGACTAGGAAGGGAGTGTTCACCAGAGCCATGGGGACTGCTGCCTGAGCCCTAAACTCCCGCCTCCAGGATGGAGGAAGATCAGTTTCTGTTGCTGAAGCATGAGGTAAGTGTCCCCGGAGACAAACTGATCGGTGAGAAACCTGACCAAATATTTCTGGCCTGAATGGAGGTTCCAGCGGTTCTATGAGGAGGATCTCAGAGACTTCTGACTGGAGTCGGGAAAAGTACCCCTTACTGGGACTTCTGTGCTCTGGGTATCTGTGGTCAGCTGTCTGGGGGACAGCCGCTTGCTTTAAAAACACTCTCCACCAGACACACTCAGCTACTGCCCAGCAATTCTTCATGACTTCTGAGAGACTTGGCCTTCTCCTCTCTTCCCTTAGGCTGAGGCAGAAACGAATGACCCTAGTGATGCTGTAGCCAGGCATGAATGGTCTATCGTGGCATAGGCATCCCCGTGAAACATGGTGGACATGCCGCTAGGCTGACTCTGAGGCCACTCAGAGAAGCCAGAAATCCAGAATCTTCTGAGAAATATCCCAAATCGTCAACATCGACAACTAACTTAATTCTTAACAAAAGTTTCGGAAAGACCAGACAGACTGGGGGTTGGGGAGGGGGGTTGAGACTCAGATTCCAGCTGCTCCCTCCTGGCATGCTCAGCTGTCCCCCTCTGGTGAAGTCACACAGAACCCCTCTTCCTGTCCTTCCCATGGCTCCCTGCACAGCTCTGCTACATGCTTTAGAGCTACACCATCTTCCAAAGCCATGATGGAGGTCCTGTTTGGTGCCTTCAGCACTGAACTGAAGAAGCTGCTTTGCCACCATCTTAAGAGCCAGGGTATGACACACAGGAACAGGCTGCTACTATACTATATAAAGACATTATAGTAAATGTGCGGTCTCAGGGTGGCATATGGGGAGCTGGCAGAGTTTTTAGGGGATAAGACCTTGAGGAGAGCCTTCAGGCCATTGAAGACATGCTCCTAAGGGGGACCTGGCCCTTTCTTCTCTCTCTCTCTCTCTCTCTCTCTCTCTCTCTCTCTCTCTCTCTCTCTCTCTCTCTCTCTCTCCTCTTCCTTTCAGGCCCTGAAGTGAGCAGTTTTGTTTTTCCATGCACACCTGCCAGAATATGCTGCCTTGCCACAGGCCCAAAACAACAGAACCACAGACTGTGCACTGGAGTATGCCTGTTGCCTTTTAAAGCCGAGTAGCTCAGTATTTGGTACAGTGGCAGAAGGCTGCTGACACAGGTGACCTAACTGCTTCCTATGATTAAGAGCCCAAAGGTTCCCATGTTCAGCCCACACCCAGGCTCCAGGCAGCAGACGCAGCGAGGCAGGAGCCTGTTTTCCGGGACACACCAAAATCCATGTGCTCGCACTAGGAGGAAGAGTGGGAGAGCTTTGTACAGCAGGTTCAAAAGGGAGCTTTGTGCCTAGAGACGGGAGAGGCACCAGGCAGGGTTCTCGACCCAAAGTCAGCATCCTGGCTCCTCAGAAGACACAGCCCAGAGGCTTGCTTCAGGCTATGCTGGGCCACCTGCCTTCCTTGTGGCTTCTTCCTCTCATCACCAAGGACATGAGTAAGGAAGGAGAAAGGAGCATCTGTCCCTGTTGCTTCTTGCAAGGACTCTGCAGGAGGGTCTATGAACAGGAGGTGCCTCAGCATGTATACAACAGAGAGAAAGGAAGACGGCAGTCACCAAGAGCTGGCCACCTTCACCGTGGCGTGTGTGACAAAGGTGGCCTAGTCATCTAGGCTGGTTGAGAAGCCAGTGAGATTTGACTCTAGGCTGGGTATGGAAATTTTGAATGGGACAAATTCCTGAGAGGAAGAGATCCAGGCTAGAACGGGGAGCATTCAGTGCCATGGAGAGAGTGTACAGTAAGAGAAGAACAGCTATGATATGAGTAAGGCCTGTACTATGCATACTTAAAGTAAGCCCCCAGAACTGAATTACAGGTGAATGAGTCAATGCATTCCTGTTGCTGTTAGCTGCAACAGGATGAGCTAGGATCCTGCATGCACAGTTAAACATTAGTTAGCCTCCTCCTCCCACCTGGTTCTCAGGCCTCCAAGGTACAGTTTGGGATAGAGGCGGGCTTTGTAAAGCCACATACCCCTCAGAGAGCTTAAAGGTGACTTCCTGCAGATGCTGTGAAGAAGCCAATACTTGTCCCAACCTGACTGGGATAAGGAGATATGGAGGCCAAGCTTTCATTACTCTGGAGACACTGCAGGCCCACACAAAGCCCACCCACCTGGTCTTACATCTCCACACAGGTGCCAAGCACCATCTCTAACAGACCCCTCCTCAATGTAGGCAGGCCTGGGAGGAAGAGGAAAGCATGCTGAGCCTGAGCCCACCTTGGCTTTCCTGGCCCCTGGAATGAAATCTGGGTTGCTTGCAGGGCCTACGACCCACTACTCTGCAAAGGGGCCACGGGCCAATCTCCTTCAGTTCTTAACCAGAGATCAGCTAGGCAGGCACACTCCCAGGCCAGCGTGCTGCATGGCTGAGCCAGCTTAGCACTGGGATGTCCCTCCAAGAAGCTGCTCCCTCCTGTCCTGTTGGTGTGTTCTGCTTCATCGGGTTGTCAGAGCAACACACGGGGAACTGAGACTATGTCTCCTCTGCTGAGTGCTTAGCCTGGTACACAGCTGTTGCAGAGACAGAGGCATGGAGAAGGTGAGAAGAACTTGGGAGGAGTTGTAGGAGGCTCTGAATGGTGGCAGGACTGAGACCAGCCACAGCCGCTGCTTGCTCTTGTCCTGTGTGGCCTTTGAGGCTCACTGAAGCAATCAAGGGTAGCTGCTAGAGCTTGGGGACGGCAAGAGGAAGGAAGTAGGGACAGATTGTTGGAACCTGGGATTCCTCTCTGGGAAAGCCTTGAACTGTGCCGCTGTCTCCCACCTCTCCCCAGTGGGGTGCCCCCAACCCTGGATTGTGAGGTGCTCAGCTGTACTCGTTCTGGCCCTTATCCTCACAGACAGATGCCAGCACACCCTTCAGGATACTCCCAGCAGCCTTCCCTAGCCCTACCCCCACCAGGCAGGAGGAGGGGGCAGCAGACTCAGGCTGAGTCCAGCTCCTATGCCTGAGGGCTGCCAAGTGGCAGCAAGCACACTCACCTCACGGGTGACTTTGCCATTGTTGTCAAAGTCATACAGAGTAAAAGTCCATTCCTGTCGGCTGTCCTCCTCCACAGAAACATCACACTGAAGCTCCTACAGAAAGACAAGTGGCTTGTTTACTTATCAACTACATAATCACCTTACCTTGGGTCCAGTGGTTAAGGCCTTGGGCACCTGGCTATTCCCCCGACACTGGGAAAGGCAGAAGAACAATGGCTAAGACATGACAGACAGGGAAAGAGGCCGGAGCCTAAGCAGGGCATACAGGTCTCAGGGCACCAACAACCTCTAATGTTCGAAGACAAAGGAAACACAAGGAGTCTGACTGTGGCCTTACAAGGCTAAACTTCAACCAAAGGTGAGAGAAGTTTCTGGAAGGAAATAGTGACCAATGGGAAGCCAGGCAAGAGCCCAGGACGGGCTACTGAACTGGGCAGCAGCAGGCTGGACATGAAGAGGTGAAACTCCAGTCTGCCCAGACTCCTCCTGGCACAGCCCCAACAGTTGTACCAGCCTGGACAGGTCGCTATGTTTCTGAGGCTTCATTTTCCTTTCATATAAAATATAGAAAATGATTGTATCTGTCCTCTGTTCTGTAAGTTTGTCAGATCACTAAGTCCCTTCCCATGTGGCCCTCCATCAGCTCAGAGTTCCCAGGTCCCCTGCCGCTATGGGGACAGTTGTCATACTTCCACCTCAACTATCCTGCTTCTCTGCCAAGAGCAGCTCTACAGGGCCAGGCTTCAAAGACCCAGAGGTGACCTGATCAATAGGATGGCAGACTCCGTGCCCCAGCTCAGAGAGCACGGAGACAGGCCTCACCACAAGACGAAATGCCGCTAACTGGAGTGTGCGTGGCCTCACCACAGGAGAAATGCCGCTAACTGGAGTGTGCGTGGCCTCACCACCACCAGGGGAAATGCCTGCTAACTGGAGTGTGTTTGGCCTCACCACAAGACGAAATGCCGCTAACTGGAGTGTGCGTGGCCTCACCACAGGAGAAATGCCTGCTAACTGGAGTGTGTGTGGCCTCACCACCAGGGGAAATGCCTGCTAACTGGAGTGTGCGTGGCCTCACCACCACCAGGGGAAATGCCTGCTAACTGGAGTGTGCGTGGCCTCACCACCACCAGGGGAAATGCCTACTATCTGGAGTGTGCGTGGCCTCACCACAGGGGAAATGCCTGCTAACTGGAGTGTGCGTGGCCTCACAACCACCAGGGGAAATGCCTGCTAACTGGAATGTGCGTGGCAGGCAAGGTGTTCTACTTGCAGCCACTGCTGCCTGAAGCTGGCTTCCCTCTCTGGTTCTCAAGTAGGTCACGCTGAGTCGAAAGCCAGCCTTCCCTCATCCACGACATGCTAATTGGACACCTGCCAAGTGCCCATTCTACTCCTGAGGAATTACTTGATGTGATACAACACATGGCACACATACACACCTGCACATATGTGCCACACTGGTTCGCTAGCTATGCCACTTGTCAGAGTGACCAGCATGTCACCTTGACCACACTGCTTGATCAGCAAGGGCAGGAACCAGAAACCATACCCATTTCACTGTTGGTCTCCTGGTGAGCAACAGGGCTCCATGAGCCCTAGGGTAAAGAAGGAGGCCCCAGTATTCTGAGCAAGGAACATTCTGTGGGGTGGAAGCACCTAAAGCTTCCAGAACCCTGCAGATCCTCATTAACCCCACAGTCCAGGGAGCCTGAAACGTAAAGAGTCTTGGCCTGAACTCACAGCTTCGTGCCAACAGTAGAGCTGTGCCCTGTGGTCTCAGGAAGGGAGGGACAGGGAAGCAGTGAGGCGTTGATGTGAGGGATGCCAGCAACCTCCACCGATCGCAGCCTCAATGTGAGCTCTCGCTCTGTGCTTGGTGCCTGGAACTCAGCTGCCCATTCTGTTGCACTGCTGGGGTCAGAGAAGGGCAGGAGGATGGGCAATATGGGAGGGGGGTATCCTTTGTGTTGTCCATGTGGTTTAGAAACCGAAGTCCAGATAGAATTAGGGCCCTGCCCAGAGCCTCCAGTCTAAGATTCCTCTATACCAGAGGAGGCCCCCATATGTCTCAGGTCAACCTCTGGGGGTGAAGTGGAAGGTTTGAAGAATCTGAGGATCCTGTAAGAGGGCAACAGGCCCAAGGACCAGAGCCCTGTCTCCCCATGTACAACCCCGCCTTGTCGTAGGGTCCTATTACTGTATGCTTGCCACCACCCACGTGGGGAGGCCATCACTGAGATACTATGGCCCAGAGGCAGCAGCAAGGATCTTCCACAGAAGCAACTACCCACATAAGAGTTAAGAGGTCATCCCTTCTAGATGGGCCGCGGTTTACCCCTTCTAGAGCACCGCCATGACTCACAACCCTCCAAAGCAAACTTACTTCAAACTTCAGCTGCTTCTTGGAGCCGGGACTAGGGTCATTCACTTTCTCCATCCTCTTCTCATCTCCACTGCCCAGGCTGTCGGTCTTCTCGGGTGGCAGGGCCACTGTGGGGCGGCAGAGGGAAAGGGGAGGAAAATCGACATCAGGGTGGCTGTGCCCTGTCCTCAGGCCAAGAGTGCCGGGCTCCTCCTGCCCTGCCTCTCGGCTGTGTTCCACGTCCTTTGATTCTTTGGCCCTGATGATGCCACAGGCTGCCCCAGAGAACGCCTCTCTGGTGTAGCCACACCAGTTACTCAGGTTTCCCTGTAGCCTCTCAGACTCCTACTCCGTCCCAACTTTACAGCCTGGATAAGCAGCCCGCAGACTGAGTACCTGGTAGAGACAACCGGCCACTTAGCAGGGCTGGGCCTGGAGAGGTGTTTAGGGGACTGGACAAGGTGTGGGACCTTAGCCTTCTGTATTCACTGCTTCCTATACTGAGACCATGGGATCCTCAAAGATGCTATAGTGGGCAGGGCAGAGAGATGGGAACTGAGTTAACACAGTTTGAAGAAGGATATGTATATGTGGTGAAGGATACCATGTACCACACAATGGCCTCTTCAGGGATTGCACTCACTCTGACCCTTGCCCTTGGCCTCTGCTCACCTGGGGTCCTTCCGTCTGCAAAAGGGCATGGTCTTCTGTGCGTCTGACTCTCAGGAGCAGAGAGGGAATGTAAAATTTGTGGCCCACTGGCACCACTACCACCCTAGACCCAGAACCCAGACTACAGGTTTCACCATGTAACCGAATGCCCCACAGGAGTCCTCTGACCCTTTCCATGTAACACAGGGGGCTTCAGTTTACTTTTCTAGAAGATGCTCCCATCTTTTCCCTCCCCAAAGTCCCCCAACGTCCTGATACAGTGACTGCTGTACTACTTTGAAGGGAACAAACTGAGTACAGCTCCTGACCTAAGAAGGCTAGGTTGCCAGAGGGCAGCTGAGATGGCTCAGCTAGGCTGATGGTTCCAGTTGAACCTTTTGGGGGAATGTCATGATCATGGCAAAATGAGGTACAGGGCAGGAAACTGGGGCTCTGCCCCCACCCCGCTCAATTCTCATATCCCAGTGTTGCAATGAGCACCTAAGCACAACAGCGAGAAGGGGGTGCAGTGGGGAGGGGCATGCAACCCTTGCTTTGCTCCTACTTGCCAAGTCAGGGCTCTCTTCCTGGTATCTATTTGCAGCAGTCCACACGGCACCACAGAACCGGCAATCAACGCATGGGCGACGGACTCTCATAGTAACCGGGCCCCACCGCCCTCGGCACTGGCCATTCATTGACTCTATCTTCACTGGGACCTTGTGAGGCGGTTACTGTTATTAGCTCCATTTACCAGATAGGAAAACCACGGCATAAGAATACTCCAGGCTCTCAGACACCACAGCCAACTACAAACTGGCCTGCAGCAGTGGTTGTGTCCCCTGGGAACCTCTCTTTTCTCTCTCCCTGCCTTGGCGCAGCCACTATCCACAGGGGCCTCCAGCCGTTAGTGTCCTGAGAGCCAACAACCCTCTAACGCCATCACAACTGCTGACTGTGGAAATGCTCTGTTACCGCAGAGTAAAGCCAAAGGAGCACAAAACTAGAATGACCACCTCCTCAGAGGCTCCAGGGGCCCAGCATGCTTCCTGTATGCTAGGCAGGCCACTGGCCCACTACTTTGGATTCCATCCTTAATAGTCCCATCCTGATCTTATTGGTCAGATATTCTCCTCCAGAGGACCCTGAATCCAGGAAGACCAGGCTGGAGACTCACCAGGGACTCAAAGACAGTCAAGCACCAGCTACTCAGTCTATCCAGTGCCCACTGGGCCACAGATGCTATCCCGAGTCCAGGCAGGGCATGCAGTATGGCCATGCCATTCAGGCACCTGGGCAGGTGGCCCTCTTGATACCCCTTGAAGAAGGGAGCTCTGCTGAGCCTTAGCTTCAGATGCTACCAACGTCTCCAGCAGACACCGCTGGGCTGTGCAGGAACACCTCAGGTGAGTGGCATTTGGTGCTCCTCCTTTTCCGACCCAGACAGCTTTAAGAAAGTCTGTACAGTGGGGGAAGGGTGGTGTCTCCTCACCCTTCCTGGTGAGCCAGGGATGCTGGTCCTCAGCAGACAGCATCCTCAAGCCAGTTCCAGGAGAGAACTGTGAGGACACTGTTGGTCAGACACCATGGTAGGTGCTCGGTAAGCGCTGACTGTGCCTAGTCCCAGCTGGTAGCTCAGGTCCGAACTGTCTCCTTTGCCCCAACCTGCCCCTTTGCAGGAACTATAGAGACATCACAGCCTGCAGAACCCTGCTCCTCCCCCTCCCAGAGAGAGAAGAGGAAGCAGAAAGCAAAACAAAGCCGAGTTCCATCTTCAAAGCCACTGCCTGGCTCTGCAGAGGTCCCGCTGATGCGAGCTGGCCAGGCTTATCGAAACCCGACTTCAAGTTCAAAGGGAAGTTATCAGACAAGCACCTCCAGGTTCAATGTCGCCTTTCATGTTCCACTTGATAAGCCCAAAGACAAGGAACCGCTGTTCCGTTCTCTCTGGAGTGCTCTTGCTGCCATGCTAGAAAGCATGTCTTCCTTTGGGACCTCCCTGCCCCTTCCTTTTTCCCCACCTGGAGTGGAAAGCACCCCCTTTTATCCTCATGTGTCCTCCCTAGAGACCAGAGAGGCGTAGGCTGTCCTCTCTTCCCCACAGGTCCCTCATGCTGTCCTAGCCCAACAAGCCTCCAGGGTAGCCCCAGGTGGTCATGTCAGTGAACATGCAGAGCCTCCCAGCCTGGGCAAGGCAGAAATGAACAGCAGGCCCTGGAGACATACTGCCCCAGGGTTGTGAGGCCAGTAAGACTCCTCGACACTCTGTGCCCTACCAAAGAAGACCTCTCACCTCTATTGTCCCCTGATCAAGTGCCAGAAGAGGAGGCAGAGAACCCACAGAAAACCATGCAGGCCTGGGGTCAGAGGGAGGGGCTAGGATTTTGACAACTGGCATGGGATTCGCAAATGACCCCTCTGAAACCAAACCAAGGCAAAGGGTATTGTGACCAGGTAGCTAATCAGAGCATCTCTACTTGGCTACGGCCACTGCCACAAGTGCCAGGCAGCAGCAAACTCTGCTCACAACAGGCCACCCAAGTCACATACACAGGGATGATACTAAGCTGCCAAAAAGGACTCTAATGCCCAAGACCTCTCTCTGCCTCTTGCTCCAGACACATCTCTTAGAGGCACTCTGGGCATATTCCGACTGCCAGGGAGAGTCACAGCAGGGTACACTGTCAATGCGGCAGGAGAAAGGTGGGCAAAAACAGCATGTTTGGGTGATAAGGAGCAGGGTGCCAACTGTGTCTTGTAAGCCACTGGGCCTGAGCCTGGCTTTCTAGGCAAAGCTTAATGAGATAGACCACACTCACTAGTCTCTGGCTGCTTCTCTGCACACACGAGAGCTGAATCACATCCTAAGAGTCCTCATGCTCCACACAGCTTAAGATAGGAGCTGTCTGGTCCTCTTTGGAACTTTGGGTATTACTGCTTTAGGTGAAGGCGGTTCTCCATATCTTCCAGGGCATATGCTTGTTAAATAGGACACAGCCTGGAGTTACCTGTGACTTACTGTTTGGCCAACTAGAAACCCTGTGTGGTACCCAACCTGCTCAATCATTCATTGTGGCCACAGAAGAGAGAAAAAAAATGACATTTCTACTTTCTTAAAATTGCTTCTCAGCCCAGAAGGACATGGGGGCTGTTTGTGGGGCTCCTTCTCTTTGGAAGCTGCTTTCTGTCCTTCTCACATGGAGGCCATGGCCACCAGAGCTGGCTGGCTGATTCTGCAGACGATGGTTCGTTCTCTCTACGCATCAGCTCCAGCCTGGCCGCACTCCACCCCCAGCAACTGCCAGATTAAATGCATTACTTGACCATCTTCACCCGGCTCCCTTTGAAGTTCCCTTCTCAAGCTTCAAAATACCTTTTGGAGGGAGATCAGACAGCATTAAACAGAATTACTAATTAATTAAGCAAAGTTAAATTTTAAACACTGTTTGTTGTGTTAGCCAAAAGCCTGAACAGAACAGACTTCTTTCCTCCACTGAGATCAAAGACAGCCTCTTTCCCTCTCCCCTCCCCCAGTTTAAAAGAGGGAAGGAGGAGGAAGAAGAGAAAGGGAAGAGACTTAGGAACCAGGGAAAGGTGGCAGCTGTGATTAGGGCCTTCCCCAGGGCCAACAGGAGGCACCCCTGGGATCACATGCTGGGAGAGTTCCCCATCACTTTCTGGGGACTGTTTACCCTGGCAAACAGCAGTGACCCAGAGAGCAGCCTGGCACAGCCCACCCAGCCTGAGCGCTGACAGCTGGCGCCACCCAAACAGCAGGGGGAGACAAGGGCTAGGACACCAAGTGGGCCCTCCTTGTGCAGTAGCTCCCTCCTAAGCTGCATGGGGGCATGTTTACCTAGGGCTCCTGCCCTGTGGCGGGGCTACAGGGGTCATCTGGGGTTGCTGGGAGACACTTGGAGAAGCAGGCTGTGTATTGCTCCATTCCAGAAGTGTCGGGCACATGACACCAGAGACGTACACAGCGTACTACTTCTGACATTTCTCAAGCAAAAGGCAGGCAGGTGTGGAAGGAGGAGCGCTGAGCGCTGTCTCTTAATTGGTACAAATGCATCGGAGCCGACAGGGCGTGGTCTGCTTCGATTCAATCTGGCAATTTATTCTATAGAGTCCCATATGGGGCCCTCTGACAACCTCGCAGCAGGCTCTGTATCTGCACAGACAGAACACTAACTTCCTGGAGGCTGGTCCTGGTAGCTGCTGCCTCTGTATTGCCCACAGGAGCTGGTGCATCTATGCACCCTTGCAGAGGAGGGAGTCTTCATAGGCTTGAGACCAGCTGTGCCGTGTCCTATACATAGGCACAGGTAAGGACAGACAGGTGCTGTCCATCCTGGCTTGAGAAACATGGAGGCTTGGTGTGGAAAGAGATGGTTGAAAAATGGGCACAAATCCAAACTCAGGTGACAGTGCTAGTTTATTTGAACACAGTCCACAAAAGCCCAGTTAACAGCAAGCTTGGATAAAAGTGACAAATTGGAAAGTAGGTTATGAGCAAGGCAGTAAAGACCCAACCTCGGTAAGGAAAGAGTGGAGATGACCATCAAGAGTGTGGCACGCGTCTCTCCACCTGGACAGAGAACACATTTTCAGGCAGACACAACAGAAGACTGAGCACAAGCTGGAGCTTCCGTGCTGAAGTTTGGACACGCGCCCTGCCGTGCTCGTGACCCCCTGCGATTGTCCGCACAAAGATATCTGTGACAAATATTCTGCTCTAAGGGTGGCTTTGCCAGGATGTTTCTGGGCCTCCAAACCTCCAGCAGCAGCTGTCAGGGGGAATGCACATGGATTTTAATATTAGCCTATGCCAAAAATAATTAGGAGGGTAAATCTGCGGTCGTGAGGAGAAAGATCGTGTGTGCATTCCAGGCCAAATGGTTTCTTGGATGACTGGCACAGGCCTCACGAGGGAAAGGGCTCTAGAGATGCACAGATGTGCCAGCCTGGCACTGCTGGTCAGGTTGGCGGGTACACATGTTGTCTCATTAAGTCCTTACTAACACAATGTAGGAGTGTCCCCATTTGCATTTCACAACACTGGGAGTGAAGCTTAAAAAGCAGAACTGAAAGCTGGGCAAGGCGGCAATGCCTGTCTCGGGAGGCTATGGCAGGATTCTGAGTTTGAGCTCTCCCACCCCCACCCCGCCAGGCTACTGGAGCAGGACCCTGTACAGGAGAGGAGAGGAGGGGAGGGGAGGGGAGGGGAGGGGAGGGGAGGGGAGGGGAGAGGAGAGGAGAGGAGAGGAGAGGAGAGGAGAGGAGAGGAGAGGAGAGGAGAGGAGAGGAGAGGAGAGGAGAGGAGAGGAGAGGAGAGGAGAGGAGAGGAGAGGAGAGGAGAGGAGAGGAGAGAGCGCTCTTGATAGCCTCTTCCTACCCCCACCACGGAACTAGAGCTAAATCTCACACACCTGGAGCTTCCCTGGGTTAGGAAAATGAGTGTTTCTACACAGGATTCCGTGACTCAGAAGCCATGACTTACTTGAGAAAGCACTGCACATTCCACAATCATAGGGTAGAGAGCTTACAGATGGAGTTTTGTGTCACTGCTCAAATTTGGATAGGAGGAACGTTGGGCCAAGTGGTCCTCTCTCTCTGAAAACCGTTTAGGAACTGAGGGAAAGAAACTGGGGGTGTCCCTAACTTAGCCTTTTATGAATAGATGTTCCTGATGCTCCCCTAAAACCCATCTCAGACTTGGAGGGACAGAGAAGAGGGTGTGTGTGTGTGTGTGTGTGTGTGTGTGTGTGTGTGTATTTCCTCATGCGGCTGGTGCTGTCTGCATTCCTAAGTCCAGCTTTTAGGTTTTTAGCGTTTAGATTTTTATGCAGTCCTATCCTGGGAATTTTTTTATTTTTAAAAGCTTCAAGTTCAAGCAAGTTTGGTTGAGCTTTCCAAAGAGCCTAGGGTTCTGGATTGAGGAGCTTCACTGCGAACCTTTACTTTTCAGGGAACCACTACCACCTCCCAGCAGCAGTGATCTGCCCAGCAGAGCCCCAAGCGCTCCCTGGCTTCCCTCCAAACGTGCATACTCCCCTCCTACATGCCACCGCTGGGCCCATATGCCAGCACTGATTCCACTTTAGAGATACTTGTGACTGAGGGGAAAGGCAATGGGGAAAGCAGGCAACTGTCTGCAAGTACTGTGGGGTCTTCACGCTCTGAGGCCTGAACAGAACTGAGGGGACATCATGGGTACAGGCAGGGACACTGTACAACGAGAGTGGTAAGAGGCTGCTATGGTCCATTTGTGCTGCCCGTCACCCCTTCCCCCATGTGTAAGTCCATGAAGGAGATTAGCTTTCAAACCCGGTCCCTGGAGATACAGCTAAACCTCCCTGGCACAGCAGAGGCAGACGCTCCACTGTCCATGCCACACTTTCACGGAGAGCAGATGGGAAGACACCAGGTCAGGTTCACTCCGTGGAAACAGCTTAGAGATGCTGGGGCTGGAGAGTGACTGCTGAGCCTACGGCGAAACTCAAGCAGGAAGAGGAGCCAGGGTGGCTGCCTGTTGCTCCCCAGAGGCCTCCTCAGACGTCAGGCACTGTCAGCCAGCCTTGTAGATGGACCTGCCCTGAACGGGTGAGTGGAACTGCCTCTTGAGAAGCCCTTACCCGTACCTTCTAGTACACTGTCCCCTAACTCCAGGCCCCAGCAGCCAGGTGGCTTGACCACCTCAGCACCTCCACTTGGATGGCCAGCAGGGTTTTCAATTTGGCATCCCTAACCAAACGCCTTGCACCCAGTGTCTCCCCATCACCCAGGCTTCTCTTTATCTTTACCCAGATACCAAGCTCCTGTGGGTTCTGTTTTGGGGGGGGGGGTCACAGACTTTAGTAGCCTTGACCGCCTCACTAGGTGGTAAAGAACCAATGGACTTTCAGGTTCTGCAAGACTAATTTTCTACAGCAGATGCCAAGTGGGCACTGGGTTGGTAGAAAAACTGCTTGGAGCCCAGAGACAGAAGTGAGCCAGCAGGCTGGGATGGGTAGGGGCAGCTTCAGGTGAGAGGCAACAGGAAGATCCTGGGGATAGGAGACATATGTAAATCAGGGGGAGCACAAGATGGACAGACCACCCTTGGAAGCATCATGGGCCTGCCTACCAGGCCAGCACTGACCTGCACCCGGGGCACAAGCCTGAGAGGCCATGTGGGTGCTGGAAGTGAATGAGGGGCTGCCCCTCACGTCCCAGGCTGCTGCTGGAGCCCCAGAAGGAGGGTCCCTCTCCTTTCCACACCCTGCCACACAGGCCTGCAGTCAGCTTGGAACCTCTGATGTTTACTTTGTTCTTTCCCAAGTTCAAAAGGAGCTCACAGCCCTGCACACCAAGCCAGCCTTAATCTCCTGCTTCGCTCCCAGCTGGCCAGTTAAGGCGGCTAAGACTCAGGATTAGGGGCAGCTTTACAGAACAACCCAGGAGCCAAAGCCCTCCTCTCCGGGGATGGCCAGAGACTCCTTTTCATCTTCACGCCTCACATGGCCCTTTTTCTCCCTTAAACAGCTCTCTAGCAGCCAAGAGGCAATGAGCTTGGCCAACAGAAAAACAAAGACGACATTCAGGAACCAGTTTTCTCCCCTAGCCAGGAGCACAGAGGGATACCATGGCCCCAGATCCAGCAGGTGTATGGCTGTGTGGCCAGGGCTCAGGGGCCTCTGTCCTTGACAGTGTGCCATGCCCAGTCACATCCCTGCCCTAGGGCGGGCTTGGGCCACTACAACAGGAGTAGCCAGAGAGCCCCAAGTGGGCAACGGGTCCAGGATTCTTCCAAGGGTCTCAAAAATCAGACAGGGTCTTTGTTTTCCTGGGCTGCTCAACACTGGCAAGGCGCTCTTCCCATAAGGAGTGACAGACAGAGGGAAGCCTTCTCTGCTTTTGCCTGCCATAGTCATGGGAAGTCAGCTGAGCCATGTGGGCAGTCCACAGCAACAGGCATTAGCTCCCACTCTTACAGATAGGGACACGGGCATTGCCAAAAATAAATAAATAAATAAATAAAACCAGCAGGCTAGAGGCTGGGTCCATGCCACTGTCATTAGCTCAACAGCATGGCACTTCTACTGGAGGAAGGAGGGGTCTTGCATAAGGGACCAGAGGAGAGAGGCAAGAGGCCAGAGGCAGGCTGGGTATGACTATGCTAGAGCACCACATAGATGGACTTGGGGAAAGAGCTGTTATGTGCAGAATCCAAACGGACACTCACTCATTATCACTGACACCGCCATAGGCGGGTAGGCCTGCGATGGCCTGCCAGAAGCCTGGTAGCTCCTGAGTACAGGAGCTGGGTACTGGGAAGGTTTTCATATTCACTGCCCACCCCTTCTGGGTTCTGTGGGCCTTTGCCCCACCCTAGTACCACAGATAGCCTACTAAGACCCACATACCTTCTAGCTGGAAGTCGTCCTCGTCCTCCTCACCAAGTGCCTCTCTGGAAGTGTCACCCACGAGCTCCTGGGGAAGACAGAGCAATGGGTTACCAGACAGTAGGGCCCAGCAGGAAACCACCTGGCTAGACTGGACAGGTAACACTGAGCACAAAGTACCAACCCGACTGGATAGACCTAGTCATGTGATAGCACAAGTGGCTTCTCAGTGTACGGCACCCTGGGGAAAACTGCCCAGGACCCATAGGACCCACCTCTCCTAGAGACCAAGCCCACTCTCCCACTGGAATGTCAGGTAAGGTCAACGTCCCTTGCGCGGCCCCCTCCCCGTCTAGCCAGCTTCACAGCCAGACTCAGAAAGCATTCAGTCTAGATTCTTCCTCCAGACAACGTGGGGCCCTCTCTGCCTTCTTCTCTGGTAAATCCCTGTTGCCCTCAAAGCCAAACGCAGTGCCAACACATTGGCTAATGCCCTGGGCTTGTATGCCATGACTCCAGCGATCCTCGCTGGGGCTTCCACGTCTTGCCCATGGTCCTGTTTTCCCACTAGCCTGGCCTTGGCGCATGCCTGATCTGCCCCCTCCATAAGCTGATGATGTCTGGAACCACTGTGGCAGGGGTCCTTCCTAGCAGCCTTTTCGAGCTGCCGTTTGCAGACTGTCATATTGGCAAAGGGAATTTCGCTGTCCTACAGGCTAGGAAAAGTCTGAGATGTCGAGAGACTAAAGCCCCAGATGTCTGACTCACCCCAGCAGGCGAGAGATACAGAAAGATTAGACTGTATCTTGCAAAATGGCTTCTCTATTTATTGGTACTCAGCCAGGAATTTTGAAACCTAAGATTATTTAGATAAAGTTAAACAAGAGCTTTTAATGTGAGACTTCTCAGGGCCTTCACCACAGTTATCAACATAGGAATCTCTGCTCTATACATTGCAGTGTGGGGCACACATCCCAAGGGCCCAGTCTGGAAAATACTCCTCTTGAAGAAAGAGGAGGTCAGGGAGGGGTACACCATATTCCCTCTCCTAAAGTCACAATGGTTGGTCTGATGACACCTCTAAAGTCCAGCAAATGACAAACATTGGAAAAGCCCAAACACACCAGCTGCTACCGATGCCTCATTGTGACCACAAAAACCTTTGCCTTGGCAACACCAGCAGAGAATACCAACCACCCAAACTCGGCACTTCAGATGCTTAAAGAACACCCAGGCCTGCCTCGACGCGGCATAGCAAAGGATGCTGCGTAGCGTGGGTGCTCACTGGATAGAGCCACAGTGGGGCTTCTAATCTTTTACTTTAGAGACAAACAGCTCTCTGTGTGCATGCAGCCTAGACCTTTCTAGGCACTCCTTCAAGGTGGCTGAAACGTGACTGTTCCTGCTCTTGTGTCCCATTTACTTCAAACCCCGGTGGCTTCCTTCACTCCCCTTCTTGCCAATTATCGTAATCACTGAACATTTCCCAGGCTTGTAACCTGGCTGTTTGTGTTAACAGAGTCAGAGTTGACAGGGAGTCTGGAGGCAGTGACAGGCAAGGTACACACACAGGTGGCATCATCAGATGGCGGGGACACCCCAGCAGCCAATTAAAGCCCCACTTTCATGCGACAAAGAATGCTGCCATCTCTTCAGCCCTGAAAAGCTAGCAGGCAGTGCTTGTGACAGGAGCAGCAGCAGGCCTGAAGGGGACAAAGGCCTTCACGCTGGGTCCTCTAGGAGAGAGTGGGCTCGGCACTGACCCCAGTAGCCCTGACAGCACCACAGCCAGGATGCTGGCAATGACGGGTCTTTGAGGTCCTGTGACTTTCTACTGGTGCTACTACCATATCACCCCAACAGTGCAGCCACGGAAGCTATCTGCTGATACTGCACACCCACCATCAGCACTGCGAATGACGGGTCCTGCACACCCGCAGAGGGTGAGCTCACACCCAGTCTATGCTCTGCAACACACTGCAGTGTTCCCTGGGCCACCCCAGGGTCTCGGCATAAACTGTTCATGGTCTTTCGACCCAGGAAATGCAACATGGGGAGCTAGCCCTGGGTCATGCCCTGGCTTCTGGGCTCTCCTAGCATTTGGACTCGGGTGGACTTACACTATGGAGAGACAGCGAACACTCACTGGACACTTTCTTCACGGCAGGCAGTGCTGCCATGTGGTAGAGAGCCTCCTCTGGCCATCACAACAGTCCTGCTCTGCCCATCTCGCAAGCAGTGAGAGTACTCAGAGTGCTTGTCCGGCATGTCCAGCCTGTGCAAGGCCCTGGGCTCCAATCACAGCAATGCAAAAAGGGAGGGGATTGGAAGGGAAGGAGAAAGGAAGGGAGTGGAACCCTCTCTACTGTAAGTTTGAGGCCAGCCTGGGCTACACCTTATCTCAAACAAACAATGCATAAAACAGGGTCTGGCCATCAGCCCTGGTGGCTCAGAGATTAAGGGTTCTGATCTACCCAGTGGGACTCAGAGCAGCGCAGCTAGCTCCTCCTTCTCTGTGGTTTGGGCTTGGTCCTGGGTCCAGCCTGGCCATAAGCTCATTCCACACGGCCACGGGCCTGGAGCCTCCTCCTGCAGGGGGCAGATAGGTGCTATGGAAGGGAAGCTGCGCACTCAGACCTCACAGCTGTAGTGAGCCCCATGGGGCATGCGGCACAGAGGACACAGAACTGGGCTCGGGCAGTCAGGGGTGGTGCAAACACAGCTCGCTGCACAAGCTAAGTCTAGAAGGTGCAGCTCAGCCTCCCATGTGCCTTGCACACAGCACACAGGGCAGTTTCAGAGTGACTTTGAGGAGCAAGGGAGGGTTCACCTCCATGCTGAAGATCAACCAGCAGTGACTGTTCATTGCTTCCTCTGTATTCACCAACAAACAACTGTCAGTACGTGCTGGAAATGCTGGGACTGACCAGCCTCAGCAACCACTGTGAGGTATGCTGTTATTGTACCCACTCTATAGATGAGAAAACCAAGGCAGAGCAGTCTCGAGACTTATGAAGGCTATAGCTCTTACACGCCAGAGAGAGGCCGACCCTTACCACTGCACCTCCTTGCAGGAGGCCTGTATCTGGGGCTTAGACAAAGGACTATCTAATTCCTAGGACCCAGGGCCTAGGCCCCATCTCCTCTGGTCCAGGACTGTGGGCCTCAGACTTACTCCAAGTTCTGACTAAGACTAGAGGCCTGGCTTGGTATTTTGTCAGGACACGTGGCCTTTAAAGTCCCAGTTCTGTCCCTCTGTTGCCCCTGGGAGCCCAGCCTCTACCCCTCCCTGGGCCCCAGGAAGAGCAACTTCTCCGGTCACTGGTGTACAGCCCGCCTAGTCCTGAGCTAAGAGGCACAGGCACACTGCCTTATAAGGCCTCCAGGACGGAAAACCACATCAAAGTGGGGCCTTGGGGAGTGTTGGCGCAGGCTAGGGATTTTCCTCTTTGTCGTTGGGGCTTCATGCTCCTGAACTCAGTCTCCCCCACGCAAGGCCCCAGCAGGTCTCTGTCAATCTTTCTGTTCTCTAAGAGGTAACAGATGTGGGTGCCACACATTTTTTAAGCAAACTCTTGGTGCCCACAGAACTCGGTACCATGTAGACTCAGGAATGCACAGGACTGAGACATTCCAGGAAGAGGGGCACAGCCCAGGCCACCCCAGAACCCTCAGATCCAAGCAGCCTGTCCTAGTTAGGAAAGCACAGCAAACTCTTTCTTCCACGAACTCTGCAGACACAGCCCAGCCTCACTAATAGCACACCCCACCTTCTGCTGTCAGAGGCAGGGCAGGGCTAGTCCATGCTCCAGTGCCCAGGTGGGCCCAGCTCGGGCTCAGCCCTCCCCACAGCTGAGTGGCAATAAAAGTGTCACTGAACTTGACAGCTCCATTTTCCTACTTTGTAAAATGGGAGATTTTTTTTTTTTAATGTCAAAGAGGAGGCAAGGAGAAGGGGTCAAAATGTCCGGGTGGCATCTGACACAAAGTTAAGAACCTGGATCTCAGTCTCTCCCATTTTTCTGCCATAGCCTCTTCTCATGTGTGCTCTCAAATGTCCTCATGGTCCATCCTGATAATCAATCACCTAGTTCCCAGCAGCTCTACCCCCTCTGAGAGTCCATTTAAGTTCACTGACATCTAGGGCCAAGAGATTCCCCAATGCCACCAATATATGTAGTATGGGTCTTCACTGTGGGGTGGTGGACTCCTCTGCTTGCCACGTGGAGCACAGCCCACAGAGAAGCACGGGAACACATGCAGGGGATACGATGCCACTAGTGTGCATCTAGAAAACTGTCACAGTATAAGGGACCATGTGGCACACAAGAGGCCAGAGAGGGTATGGAATGGATGCCCTGGCCACTCACTGGGAGAGGAAGGAGATACAGAACCTCAGTCAAATACCTAGCCTTGAGAAAATCCTTCGAGCGCTCAGAGATGAGACAGTGGTCCCTTGGGCTCCACTGGGACTGATTCCAAAGGCATCCACATCCCAGGGCTCTGAGGGCTTAGATAGAGCAGCACAGTATCTGCGGAGCCCCATACCTCCCTCGAAGTCTCTAAGCCATCTCTGGACGGCTCTCAGTTCCAACAAGTGCAGCTGTGTAAGCAGCTGTCACACGACTCTGTTTAGAGAGTGACAGCCAAGAAGAGAGTCTGTACTTGTTCAATACAAAGGTTGTTTTTCCCATGTGTATCTTCTCCAGGATGAATGGGTGGGCGTAGAACCCACAGCCACAGAGGGCCAGCTGCACATCCACGTGTCGCCCGGGCAATGAGATCCTGACTTCACAAGACCGCAGATGATGGCCCACTTCACAGAAGACGGACCTGGAGTTCAGACAGATGGAGAGAAGGGTCCTAGAGATCACAGAGAAGGAACGGCTGAGAAGGCTGGGGTCCTCCAGGCTTAGGAGTCTATGACCTCCTGGTTACAGGACTCATGGGGCATCTAGCTGCCAACACCATCAGCAGCTGATTGCTCTTCTGTGGCACGTCCAGGGAACAAGAGATGGGGAACCAAGGCTGCTCACCACCCGGGCCTCTCTCTCTGTGTCTAGCACACACCACGAATCTGGACCTCCG